ACTGTAATCAACTCTCTCAATTGAGTTTGACTAAAATATTAAAAAGAAAAAAAAAATTCAGAACATTGTTGCTTACGACCAAACCAAAACTTTATCTTGAGGGGCCAAACAGGAGTTGTTTACCGTATCAAAAAAATAATTTTTTTATCTTGTATCAACATTTATCATTGTTGCGGTATTGAAAAATAAATTTATAAATTGTTATGGGTGTTTTTATCATTGTTGCGGTATTGAAAAGAGTGTTAAAAATAATTATTTGAAAGTGGTAATACACACAAAAATAATAATTTTTTTATACCGAAAAAATTGATAAATATAATTACAACAATAGTAGTAACAACACTTACAAAAATGATAAATCACCCACAAAAGAGATAAATTTTTTTATTGTAAAATGACACATAAAAATTATAAAATAATTTAAAATAATAAATTTTAAAGGTACGAAACCAATTTTTTTTCCCTATACCCTAGTCAACTCCGACCAAACTTTATGTACATAAGCTAGAGAAAATTACTAACACTCAATACACACACAAAAAAAGGTATTATATGAGTAAAAAAAAGGTAATACACAATTTTTTACTCAAAATTGAGTTAATATTTGAATAAAAAACTTGATTTTATACAAAAATACCTAATTGACAAACTCAAAGTTAAAAGAGAACAAATTAAAATTTAATTAAAAAAATGATAAAATTTAACTATTAGATATTTAATGGAGGATAAAATCTAACTATTTAAGATTTGAGTATCATTTCACTTGGTATGAATTCGTGTAAACGACCTCATGTCATTTCAAATTTTAATTTTGATATTATTCAAAACAAAAAACAAGAACAATTTGAAGTTGAAGTAAATACAAAAAATGTAAATACACATAACTATTGTAGAAATGGAATTCTAGGCACAGGTCTAATCAATTTAATGCAAAATGGTAGGCTTCTCTGATTTACCAATAAAATATTTTGATCAAAGTATTAAAATAGATTGCAACCTTATATCATTAAAACAACAGAATAATTTTTTTTAGAGGGTCGACTATGAAAGAGATAAACACTTAACATAGAAATTATCTTGGGGTCAATGTCTTGGAGTATTTACACACCATTTTTTGGGTAAAGCCTATCAACTTTTGGAATGTACTCACTTTTTTGGATAAAACTTGTTGTTTTTTATGATTTTTTTTTTTACTTATTGATATAGTACCAAAAAAAAAAGGGGGGGGGGGGGGGGGGGGGGGTATTACAATTGTATTGTACACATTCACTTTTCCCCCCTCTCTTTTTTTTTTTTTAATGATAGATTAGTCAATGATGTATGAATGTATAGTAAGTTGTATTTTATTCACGATAATTAGTCTTTTATTAAATACAATTAAATAATTGCACTTTTGAAGATTGAGATCTAGGTTAGTGAAAGATGATTCCTACAAGGTATTGCGAGAAAGAACCAATAATCTTGACTTCCGCTCAAGCTCTAGATTCAAGTTTAGATAATAAACGATATAATTTATATAGAAATAAAGTCATTTAAGAGACACGTTTTTATTTCTATTAATTAAATTTTGCAAAAAAAAAAAAATCGTATTGGTTAAAATTAAAAAGGTTAAGGGGTTAAAGTCAAAGATTTTTTTTTAAATATGTTAATTATAATTAGATCCAGTTTTGTTTGTTTGTTTGGGCATGGATTTTAAGTAAGGTCTGATTCTGGGTATGGGTGTCGCTCTGACCAGTCAAAACGGATGGTAAGACAATATTTTTTATCAAAATTGCTAACACCGTGCAATTATTAGACTTTATTTGTAATTTATCCCTATAATTTTTTATCCTTCCAACCAAACACAATATAAATATTTTGAGAAGTCAAATATCACACCTTAAATTTTTTTATAATTTTTCATTTACATTTTTTTAGGATTAATTTTTTACACTATATTGTAAGTGTTGTCAAATGATTATATTAATTTCTATTGCTATTTTTGTCAAATCATGATGTACGCACGAACATGAATTGGACAGAAATATCAATGAAAGTTAGTGTGAGGGTCATAATTTAATTATTTTATGAAATTGACAGTGTAATATAAAAAAATAATCTTTAAGGGTACAAATTAAGAATTTAACAATCTTTGAGGGTATCAAATATGATTCTACTTAAAAATAATGTTTATAATCAGGACCGTTCATGAATTGCTGAGTACACGTGTCCCACTGTTATGCAAGCACGATGCCGTTAGCTACCATGGAAGGGTATTTAACTATTTATATAGGAAACATCTGGGTATCACGTGCCCCAACTTTTAACCGCTTTTTCTCCGAATTAAGACAAATCCTTTTCGACACGGTCAACGTTTTTACTTCCCACGGACAACTCCCAATCCCCTACGCCCTTTTCATTCGCGTGAACTCCACCGTCCACTTTGAGTGTTTTGGACAATTAATCCGATGCATTTCCTCAATAAGTCCCACACTCGGTACAATTTCCAAATTATCGAAGCCTTGTTCTTGCAACATGTTTGCACTTTGGAGTTGCTTCGGTCTCAAATTCTCTAATTTAAGCACAGATGATTTATTTTTGATCGAATTAAAAAAAATTAATTAAAATACGTATAAATTAGCTCTAAAACCTCTAATCGTAATGTAAAAGAAATGACCTAAATTTAGGAATAAAAAAGTTGATATGAGTTGAATTCCAAGTGTATCATTTGATCATGTATTCATAAACAGAGAATATATGTTTGGATTGGATCAAATTATCTACAGCGATATTTAGTAAGTGGTAATAAAACACGAGAATAAAATGATCATTATTTAGTAATGTTTATTCCAATTTTTTGTATATTGTAATGAAAATTTATTTTCATTCCAATGAAGTACATAATCCCCATCAACATAAAATTTGTTATTTCTCAATATTTTTGTGATATTTTTAATTCTCAACTATCATTATATGTCATTACCACCACTTGGGGTTAAAATCTAGTTCGGGATCTGGTCTGAGTCTAGGGTTGGGTTCAGGTCCAAGTCTAGGTCGTGTATGGTTTCTAAGGATTTTTTAAATATTTATTTATTTAAATATTCGAATGCATTTTTCAAATTCTATTCTAACGTTTAATCTTAGTCATTTCTAAACATTAGAATTGTAATATATATTTAATTTAATTTATATTTTAATTTTATCATCACCTTAATTTCATTATCTTATAAAAACATTATCTAATACCAAACACAATTATAATTATACTCTAATCCAATTTATACTAATTGGATAAGTTGAGAAGTTATATGCTATTTTAGTCATCATGTGATTGATGTGGCACTATATGAATTAAGTGAGATTCCATTTATCCAACACAATCCATCATATGTTTTATCAATCTATAATCAATGTGTGGGAGCTAAAATACATCAAAATTTCGAATTACCACTTCAGACCTATGTGGGGGTGTAAGTGTCATATCAAATCCCTTTACGTTGGTGGTGCAGGACTTTGACAAAACACACCAAAATTACCAATTTGTCCTTGAGATTGGTTTTCTTTAAGGTAATCTAATTCTTTTGTAAAACAATCCAATCCTATGGAACCCATCAAAACATCCAATCTAATCACATCATTCCCACAGAATGGAACAATATCACACCATAGGGGGTTATCAATATTTTTCATGTGAGGCTCGTACTATTATACACCCTCGTAATAAAAGATTTAAGAAAATATTAAATAGACTTAAAAAAATTAAATTTGATGAATCACCATTATTAAATATGTATCTAATTTCAATAAATACTGAATTTTACATTTAAATCAATGACAAATATAATATAATTGATTGATGAAAAATTGACAATTCGAATTTGACATGATAAAAAATGATATGAACTCAACGTCTATATATATAATATTATTATTTATAAAAAATTAAATTATCAACTTATAAAAACAAAATAATAATTTAAATTAATTCAATTTTTATCTATTTTGATCAAATGGTACAAAGTTTATTCTAATTTTTTTTTACTCAAAAATATTATTTTTTTTGCACGGCCCCTAATATAAGATAATTTAACCAATATACTCTCTAATCCTAGGCAACCTCACTAATTTATATTTACCTCTCTTTTATTTTTTTTATTCACTTTAATTTTAAATTTTATAATTAAAGGAAAAAATTAATTTTTTATTTAAAATATAAATATTATACGGTCAGATATTATTCAGGTATGAAATTATTGCTAGTCTATCAAATATTATAACTAGGAAGTCAAATTTTCAACTTATAAAAACACAACAACGGTTAAGATTAATCCAATTTTTATTTATTTTGATCTTATAATATAAAATTCATCCTAATTTATTTTTCAAAAATATCGTCTTCTTTACACTACTTTCAATGTAAAATAATTGAACTAATATATTCCTCAATACCAAACGACTCTAATAATTCATATATATATTTCTTTTATTTTTTTTTGTTCATTTTAATTTAAATTGTATAATTAAAAAAAACGAAAAAAAAACTATTATTTAAAATATCAAATATTATACTATTTCTATACGTCGAGAATCCTAGGGTACACGCGCATGGGACAAGATTCATCTCACTTGGAGCATGAGTCGCGCGTGGAATGCACGCCCCAAAAGATTAATTGAAGCTTGTTCCAATCTTAATTGAAACAACTCGGATACACATATACTTTGTTAACGTTCCCTCTCATCTAACAAAAGAACGTAGACCGGTCCAAATGTTCAATACGTTTCTAACTTATTACACATTCGTATGTAGTTGTACAGATGGACTTTGGTATACTGTACCGTTACATTCCTTTTTCTTGGGCGCCAAACACCCCCTCCCTGTTTGTCCCTCCCCAAAACCTCTTGAAATAAGTGGAAAAATATCATTAAAGAGAGAGGGAGAGAGATAGGAAACCCTGGAAAAAAGGACAGGCGTGAAAGCCATCTCAGATAAAATCCCTCCTCTGCTTACTTCTTTGGGTCTATCTCCCTCTCCCTCTCCCTCTCCCTCTCCCTCTGTCTTTCCAGTCCCAGAGAGAGAAAACAAATGCAGCTATGATACTGTGTCCAAGATTTAGTTTGAGCTTCTCTTTCTATATCCTGTCTTGAAGATAATGAGCAGAAGCTCTTGTATCTTCTTCTCAGAAGAAGATGGTTGTTTCACCTTTACAATCCATTCTCGATGGTCTTTACTGTGAAGAAGAGCGTTTTGAGGAAGATCTGGAAGGGTTTGGTTTTGAGGAAGAGAGTGAGGGATGTGATGAGACTCTGAAAAATCCTGTGGCTTTGTTAGCACATGACTTGTCTTGGGCAGATGATGAGCTTGTGACTCTATTATCTAAGGAAAAAGAGACCCATTTGGTTGAAAGAGATTTGAGTTCTGATGGGTCTCTAGTACTGGCAAGGAAAGAGGCTGTTAAGTGGATGTTAAGGGTAAATGCTCACTATGGGTTCACTGCCATGACTGCTGTTTTGGCTGTGAACTATTTTGACAGGTTCATAACAAGCCTCTGCTTTCAAAGAGATAAGCCATGGATGAGTCAACTTGCTGCTGTTTCTTGTATTTCATTAGCTGCCAAGGTGGAGGAGACCCAAGTGCCTCTTCTCTTAGACCTACAAGTATGTGTTATATATTTGTAGATTGCTGCTGATGCAATGTGGGTGTTTGTAAAAATGTCATACTGTGTTGTTATTTGAGCCCTTTGTTGTGCCATTGATGTGGATTTGTGTATTTTCAGGTCGAGGAATCGAAATTTGTGTTTGAGGCAAAGACTATTCAGAGAATGGAGCTGTTGGTGCTCTCTACTCTTCAATGGAAGATGAATCCAGTGACCCCACTCTCATTTATTGATCACATTATAAGGAGGCTTGGATGGAAGACCCGTTTACATTGGGAGTTTTTGTGGAAGTGTGAGCGCCTACTTCTCTGTGTCATCTCTGGTAAGCAGATCAATAAGTTTTCAATTCACTATTTGCAATGAATGAACATACATTGCCAGAATAAACACAACGAAGATTTTCATATATCTTATCTCGTTTTGGGTTTGTTGTCTTACATTCAACATTGGATACAGATTCAAGCTGTGTGCGTTATAATCCATCTGTGATAGCTACTGCAACAATGTTACTTGTTATCAAAGAGGTTGATCATTCTGGTGCATTGGAATATCAGGATCAGCTTATGGGCGTCCTCAATATCAGCAAGGTTTGTATTTCATATACATGGTGGTTCTCTTCTCTGTTTTTATTCAATCTGTTATAGCATAGTTCCTACAGTTGAATCAGAATATGCTGTCTATAAGGCTTAATGGTTCTTCATTATAAACAATAACAGGAAAAAGTAGATGAGTGCTATAAACTCTTCCTGGAACTACTAGACAGACATGGCCATAAACAATCCCAAACCCACAAGCGCAAGTATGTGTCTATTCCGGGCAGTCCAAATGGTGTCATTGATGCGTATTTCAGTTGCGACAGTTCTAATGATTCGTGGGCTGTGGCATTATCGGTTTCATCATCACCAGAACCTTTGTTTAAGAAGAGCAGAGCTCAGGATCAGCTGATGAGATTGGGTCCAGTAAACCGTGTCTCTGTGGGTGTTCTAAACAGTCCTGATCTCTCATTTTCTCATTAATCTAGCATATCGGCGCTGGTATTATATAATCTCTCTTTTGCTATGTGTTCTTAAGGCACAATTATATTGGTATTGCACTCTATTATGTCATTGTATTTCTGGTCAAACCCATGTGTTGGATCAGACATCCAGATATCAAACATTCACTTCACCACCTCCTTGAAAGGGGATGGGCAGTGAGGTTGAAAAGGAGAGATTGCTCGAGTTTTTCCTTGAATTGTTGCTCTATCCCGCATATGTGATCAATTCGTGTATGAACATTATTGTCGAATAGATATAAGTGCAAGACTTCCTTTTTATCTGTATGTCATTATGCCTAAATGCTTGTCATAATTCGATAAACCAAGGTAGGTGGATTTGGAATCATACATAGATATGGGTGTGCCGAGTCCTTGGTAGTTTTCTCAAATGAACAATTGATGAGTTGAGGTAGTTTTTCAATGTTAGGACAGGTTGGCAGTGGACTATGTGCTTGTGAACTGGTATACTATTAAATTAGGATGTGAGATGTCTCAATGCTGGGAACAGACAGTCGGCCAGTGGGTTTGGTTGTTATTGGATAGACCAATGTTTCTGGGTTTGACCATGTTGGAAGAAAACTCCACCATTCGGTTTTGAATTTCAATTGATCAGTCCAATTACCTCACCCCCATCACCACCAAACCAAAAGAAAAAAAAAACTTAGTATTACCAACTTGTATAACGGAATGGTAATCGTGTACTTGACAGGTAATTTAAACACCTCAAAATGTGCAATTTGATTAAACCAAGTGCTAAACCTTGAGGCTCTTAATATTGTCAAATTTTGTGTTATTTTTCTCAAAATAACACTGTTGAGTAGTGTGTTGTGCTCCATTTGAATGTGTAGCTAACCAAGACCAAAGAGGCAAAACATTGTCTGTAAATTGATGCTACCTCTAGTATTCCATGACCTTCACCGGAAAGTTTATAGGGAGAGTTCAGTTACTTTTTTAGTTTATAATCACCAACTATGGATTCATGCCACGGTTGCCATAGAAGGGTACAGGATCATTCACTAAATCCCCTAAGAAAACATTCGGGTTCTAGATTTTTCTTTTGGCATAATTTTCTTAAGAAACATTCCTAACCTGCTGGGAAGATGTCTTTCAGTGCCAGTATGGTACGATAGTTCTATCAAAAACGATGAAGAAAGGAAATATGAATGTGAAAAATAGTTATTCATTTAGCTGTAAACATGAATGTTGTCAATAATTACAGCTTATGCGCAGGGGAATTTGCTTGATAATATGTAATGGATTGATCCCCGAGGATAATCATTGCATGGCAATGTTTTGTGTATGTTTATCCCTATTTGCATCTGTTTGCAAAGCTATAATGCCTTGAATCTGAATGCTTCTTTCTTGCTGCCCATCCTAATTGCAGTATTGCTATTGAGCTTCTGTGCCACCACTGTGTCCTTGGTTCTCTGACTGCTTCCACCATTTCCAGCTTGAAAATACTAACCAGAGGACAATCTAAACTACTGACTAAAAATAAAAATAAAAAACTACTGAATTCGACCATAGGGATTTTTGTTCTTGCACATTTATACTGGGAAAAAAAAGGAACCCCTAGGGAAAAAGATTCAATTGCCACTGTACTGTGATTTTGCTACTTTTTTTTTTTGTACCTCAATACTGATTTATTTAACTTATTTATCAAATTACCGTTTGTTTTTATCACAACGTGCTTTAAACTCATGTTTTTCAATGTAACCAAGTGTTTACCAAACATGTTAACACAATTTTACTGTTTTATATTGAAAAGTGTAGATTTTTTTAGAACATAGCTTTCTACCACGTTTTCACGAAAATAACGATAGATTGAACAGTAAGTTAGAAAGTAGAACTTGATAGATCGAACAGTTAGTTAGAAAGTAGAACTTGAGGACAGAAAGTGGAAAAATTAGCCACAGATTGGTAAAAAAATTGAGGTAAAAGTTGACGGGTGGTCTTGACTTTGGGTTTGATAATGGGGCAGAGTTGTGGAACCGTTTTGATTTTGTGGGGATTTCTTCTGTCCCTGCGGTCCCGTTGATGCATTTCAGCTTTCAGGTTGGTTGGTTATGTAAATCAGCAAAATGTCTTATTGATTCAAACATTCATGAATGAGAGAGAGAGAGAGAGAGAGAGATTTTCAACGGAACAGCTGAGGCAGTAGGGACCATCCAATAATTCTAGGATGATATGATGATTACTTATTATTTAGCTTTATGTCTCACATGAGGTTTGACTGAACATAACATAATTAACAATACTCTGTAAAGACTTTTGGAAGAAATTTCACCTCAAAAACTTCTTTGAGATGTCTATTAGACAAACAAGCCAGCTGAGAGTACAACTGTGATACTTAGAAAGTTCATAAAAGAAGCTGAGGTGAGTTGACTATTTGCTCTTTACCATGGTGTGGTTTCAGGGTAGTTGATGGGTTGGGGGTAGTCCTATTTTTTTGGTTTGGTTAGAAATCTTTGAATCATATTACGTGTATTTTGATTAATTTTTTTTTCGGTTCAGTGAAAGATGGATCATTCATGTCAAGATTAGGATATTCATGAAGGATAAATTTTTTATGGTCTGATCTCAAGGAATAGTTAAAATTCGCATTCAATATATTTTAGTTTACAGATCGTTTTTGTTATCATTTGACTAACCTCTTGGGGTTGGGGTTGGGGTAGTCGTATCAACATATTAGATTTCAACTGATTTGAGTTTGATTTTAAAATTTTAATTCGAATTTTGTGTTTATATATTGTACAGGTTATCTGTTAAAAACCGAAGATTCAATTAGATCCGAATAGCTCAATAAAATCTGAATCAAGTTACATTTGAATTTGATCTCATTAAACTATTCCTCAATTTTTATAATATGTTTGTGTATAGAATTTGGATTTAATTATAATCAAATCAAATATTAATATATCTAAATAAAGAAATATGATATAGTGATTTGAAATAAGAACTAAGATATGATGCATGGATAGGTCTATTTTTTATTTTTTTTTAACGGATATAACTTAAGGGGAAAAGACGAGGTATCATCCATGGTACTGTATCAAAAATTATAGTTATAATTTTTTTGAGGTGTAAAATCAATTTTAGAGGACATGATCGATCATGAAAAGTTGAGATCGATACTTAAAGTTTATGATCAATCATGGATATTTATGATCGAGCATAATCTTCTTTGAACTGTTCTTATAACTTTTTCTTTTAAAACTACAACTTTACTATAAAAAGCGGTACCGTGGATTTTCCCTAACCTAAGAATCAAAAAGAATGTAAATTGTCACCACTAATGATGATGGTAACTGGTCTTGAGTTAGTCTTTAGATGATTTCGAGGGATAAGATCTCAAATTCAACTCTAGCAGAAGAGAGAGTTACGATTCGTACAAAGAAAAGGAAGAAAAAATAACCACAAAACGACATTGGATAAAACCTGGTCTGTCGCAACTTGCAAGGCTTGACCCCGGGGACACGGTTGGCCATTCAAAAATAACCCTTCATTGTGATCAAGGTTAGTGAGGACTATAGCTATATTACATGTGTCCATCACGTCGTATCAAGTTATGTTCGTGTTATGTGATTTCGAATTAGTGTTTAACATTAATCAATTTTAATTCATCTCGTTTAACTAATCATGTCGACCTATTTATTTTCGTGTCGTGTTTGTGTTGATCCATATAACAAATGAATAAAAAATTTAATGCCTAGTTTTATGCCTAAAATTTTATTATCACTTAATCGAACATACGCTCATACTTTTTTCTATAGTTTAATAAATACAATAATAAAATTTAGTAAAAATATATTTTCTTTGGTACAAGAATTAGGTCACTACTTAATAAAATATAATTAAAAATTATTATTTTATTCTTATAATACTTCTTAAACGTATTAATCATATCAATTTCTTATTGCTCATGTCACATACGGATTAATGGATTGTGTATATGGGATTGGGTCGAGAAATGACAATCCCTGACTCTCTAATTTCAAGTTATGTTTTTGTGTTGTGTCAGAAAATGTGATCAAGGTAAGTGAGAACCACATCATCATCTGATTTCACAGGTCAAAATCATCCTAGTTTTGGTGAGTTTCAGCTAAGGGATTTGAACATTTCCTTCAACCTTCCTTGCATAATCTATGACCAAGTGTTTTCCACAAAAAAAAATATCCATATGGTTTCATATGTACCATGACCTTTTATCAGAAATAGTATAGGGGATTTTTCTGTCCCTTCAGGGAAACCAACAAGATTGGATTTTTCTGTGTTGGTGCTATTTATGATGTCTCTTCATGAGACTAGAGCAGAATGATAGCTTCAATTTTAACCTTATTCACTGCCAAATGACATTTTTGCCCTTTTTCATTCCATGAAGTACATAAAATATCTTATCCTCCCAACATGATTTTCCCTATTAATAGAGGACACTTATGTTATTTCATAATTTAGACTCGTGGAATGGTAAAAATATCGGCTTAACAACTGCAATATCTATATAATAGCGGAGCTAGCAACTTGAAAGACAAAAAATATATCCATCGATCCAGATTAATTTAGACTTGATCTTGACGAAAGTAATGGTATTCATGTGAGAGAACAGTGAGAGAGAAAGTGTTGGAAACTGCTAGGGATTGTTGTTTTTATAACATTTCAGAGGTATAGATTAGAACATGTAAAATCAGTACTTCTTTGGTTATTATTTTCCTTCTACATATCAGTATGGTCGATTTTCAGGGAAGTTGGTCTGAGGACTATAGTCTAAGCAAAAAATAAAGGCAGTAAAGTTGGAGTTGTGATACATCCCCCACAACCCATGATCCACATGTTCTGATATTGGATGAGTTTACGATCTAAATCACCAAAATTCTCGACTCTAAATTGTAACTTAAATTCAAAACCAACCTTAAACTAGGCAATTTCAAATTTAACCCTAACCCAAAATTGTAACTATATAGGACTAATATCACTTTTGATCCATAAACTATGTATTTTTTTTTTAGTTTAGTCCTTAATGTATCAATTTGGTTATAGAAGTATTCAATTCGAGTTATCTTGGTCCTTATATAAATGAATCGTTAAGTGTTTTAAATGACATGTGATCACATCCTTTAAAACACTTAACAGTCTGTCTATGTGTGGACCAAAATAATACGAATTGAATACTTTAAGACCCAAATTGATAAAATTAATACATTGACGATTAAACTAACAAAAAATACATACTTTGGGAATCAAAAACATTATTAACTCATGCTCCTCACCCTGTTGAAA